ATAGTACCAAGAGTGACTTTTTAGAGTAAAAATGTCATTTTCGTTAAAAGTGAACAGTACCGAAAGTGTTTTGTTAAAACTCCCAAAATTATAAACACATGGATATTCCTGTGAGAAGTCAGACTATTTCATACACTTCCAATTAGTTTACCGTGAACTTTAACTTTCTTAACAAGAAAACTGTCATATATAGAAATGTATATTTGATTCCACAACTCAGACATTTCAATTGAAAATGAATGAAGGGACAAAGGCACAAAACAACCAACCACTACATGTTTAGCACATAAATTCAGGAGGCTAACTTATCATGCATACAATGTACCAATGTTTGCTGATGGACTTCTTTGGAATCAACGGTCCTTCGATTTGGAGAATAATTTACATGTAATCAAGTTGTTAAAGCACTAACCACACATTATATTATATTATGTGATTTAATTAAAACGCGTAACCACTTTATGTTTAGCACATAAATTTAGGAAGCTGACTTATCATGCGTGCAATGTACCTATGTCTATCACATCCTGGCCCAGGATATGGTGGGGGCTCGGGCTGGTGCTATGACTCCATAGCACAAAAATCGAGACATCACGAACCATCGTCGTCTATAACAATTATCAAATCACATCTCAGAGTTCTTATCGATAAAACATGTAACTTACACAAAAAATATCCCCAATGACGTTCTAGAATGATTTGGGACCCATTGACCAAAAGTCAATCGTCGGTCAAAGATCGACGATAGGGTCCACAACACTACGTAATTCAATCCGGAAAATCAGCATTTCAGATTTCTGATCTGTAACTTCTAAAGATCTACATTGTGCTTCTAAGACAACATACTAAAATTTCAGTACGATCCAATGGTTAGATCTCCTCCAATTGTTAATTCAAGTGGTGGTCAACGTTTTATTTTACGAACTTACAAATTCAATTTGGGAAGATCCGTACGTCAGATTCCAAATCCGTAAGTTTCTAATATCCTCAAATATTACGTACTATAATATATTAAAATTTAATGGCCATCCAACGGTCGGATCATCAGTTGCTGTAATAATCAAGTGGCGGACCTCAGGTGAGTGGGTCTTTTCTTTTTATCGTAAATAGATATGACTAATAATTCCACAAATGCTTTTAAATTGTTCTATGCATTGTATGCCATGTGTTATATATATATATATATATATATATATATATATGTTACAATACTATGGTATGGTTGAGTTTTAGATTGCATTATGGTATATCTATATGCATATTATCGGCATATAATTACTGTGAATGCTTTGAAGTACTAAGTTGAACTACGAATGGTTTGATCCTGTTTGAGGGTACATAGGTAGTCTAACAAGACAGTTAGATGCAGCCATAAAACAATCCAAATTTAACATGGTACTTGATTTCTTTAAGGAAAGAAGTTATGATGGTTAACAGCGTAGAGATTAACCATGATTTTATTTTGGCCTATTACCAGGTTTAGTGTTGATATACTGTTGATATACTTTTGATTTTACATTGATACGTGGTATGAGTTTTTTTTTTTTGGAAACATGTGTCACAGCGAGGGGTTATAACAATTTAGAAGGTTTTTATTAAAATTTTATTTCCAGGGCCACTCACCCTTGCTTTGTTTCCACCCTCCAGGTTTTTTTTTTTTAGCTGAACTTTCTTATCGATGAGGATTCATAGCAAATCTTGGTATTGGAGCTTACCTTTGATGGTATGATTCTCAATCCCCTCTACTGTACTTTACTTATGCTCTGACATCACGTGTGAAATGGGTTCATTTCCGCTCACAGCGCACTCTCGTATTTTGGCACTTTTAGATTTAAATTTATTCACATTTTCTCCCATCACTATATTTTATGTCTTCGTCACCTTCTTGGTCTCGGCCAGCACAACTCGATTTGGAGTCCAAGTGGACTTTCCAGATCAGGATGTGTTAATGTTTGCTGAACTAACCACATGATACTGTAAATTTGATTCCACAACTCAAACATTTCAATTGAAAATGAATGAAGGGACAAATGCACAAGACAACTAACCACTACATGTTTAGCACATAAATTCATGAAGCTAACCAATCATGCGTACAATGTACCAATGTTCGCTAATGGATTTCTTTGGAATCAACGGTCCTTTGATTTGGAGAAGAATTTACATGTAATCGAGCTGTTAAAGCACTAACCACTCATTATATTATGTGATTAAATTAAAACGCATAACGACATGTAATATAACCTCCTGATTGTCTAATTACAAAACTTTATCAATTTGTTTTTGTCACATCCCCGCCTTGGCCCCCACCATAACCCGGGCTCGACTCCATCGTAGCACTATGTTGTCCACTTTGGGCCCCGACCACGTCCTCACAGTTTTGTTTTTGGGAACTCACACGAGAACTTCCCAGTGGGTCACCCATCCTGGGATTGCTCTCGCGCAAACTCGCTTAACTTCGGAGTTCCGATGGAACCCGAAACCAGTGAGCTCACAAAAGGCCTCGTGCTACGTAGAGATGAGAATATATATATAAGGTTTACATGATCCACTCCCCTGGACGATGTGAGATGTTACAGTTTTAGTATAAATTAGTATAAAATATCGATTATATTAAAAATAGTGCACAATAAGACACATTATGAAGTGTACCAAAAGTTTTTCAAACTAAAATTAAAGAAGATGAAAGGAAGCAATTTAAGGTAGTGCTATCCATACATCAGTTTTTACCTTTCACACATCGTTATTTACTTCTAACCTTCGCACATGATGAATTGAAGAAGATCAATAAACAAAAATTAACAAATGTGTATGGAAGGTTAAAAATGGGTGTTGTGAACAACACTACCCCAATTTATTGTGCTCATCCCTGACTGACGGACATAAAGAGTTGAAAAAGATCAATGAACAAAGATTAACAAATATAGGTGGAAGGTGAAAATGGATGTTGTGAACAATACTACCCCTCATTTATTGTGCTCATCCCTGACCGTCAGATATAATGAATTAAGAAGATCAATGAACAAAAATAAAAAATATGTGGAAGGTAAACAAAGTGTGTGAACAACACTCTCCAAATTTATTGTGCTCATCCCTGACCGTCGGACATAATGGATTGAAGAAACAATAATGCTATTCTTACCACATTATTAGACCACAATCTTATACCACATTATGTGGCAGCTGAGTTAGACATGCCACCTCACTTAATTACAGTATACTTGGATTTCCATATAAATTTTATTAATTTTAATTAGTTTTTGTTCAGAAACAGATATTAGATTGAATTAAAACAAGTCAATTTTCATATTCTTGCATCCCTCATCTAGTCGTCCTCAAATACTCTTTTCGTCATCCCAATCTCGTCCTCACTCCTTAAAGTTCCTCTAATTGTCTTGTGCTTCTTCATCCTCCTTCCTCCTCTTTTCCAGAACAAATAGAAAGAACATTTAAAAAAAAAAAAAAAAAAAAAAAACAAACAAACAAAGGGCCAATTGCGAAAGTAAAAAAAAAAAAAAAAAAAAAAAGCATAATTAATTTCAATAATTGGCGAGCAACTGCAGCATAAATTTGAGTATTTTTCAAGAACAGTGACCCCATAACCTTAAATCTGATAGAAAACTTGTTCCTTTTGACTCCTTCATCAAATTTTTAAAGATGCTTATAAAGTCATTGTTCAATAAAACGATTAGCTAACCCTTATTTTATGACAATAAAAAGGAAAACAAATACGATCAGTTAGAAACCAAATAAATTTTGACAAAAAAATGGAGGTTGCAGGAGGCTGAAGAGGAAGGAGGGAGGAGATTGGGGTGAGAGGGAGAAAGGAGATGGAGTGGAAAACGAAGGGTCAGACCTAGACCTGGTTTGGTACTGAGGTGATTCTGAAAAAAGCTGCTATCAAAAAAAGCTGGGAGCTGTTTTTGTGTTTCGTAAACACTCAGCTTCAGCTTTTTTTCACAGTTTTGGATGAAAAAAAGCCAAAAACAAGAAGCTGCAAAACTTAGCTTTGAAAAAACAGCTTTTTTTCACATCTGTTTTACATAAAAGTTTACCAAACACTCTAATACTGCTTTTTTTTTCAAAAGCACTTTTACAAAAAAGTTTACCAAACACTCTGGTGCTTTATTTCACAGCTGCTTATTCTCACATCACAGCAGAAGCAACTTTTTTTCAAAGCACAGCAATACCAAACCAGCCCCTAATCAATTCTAATTAGGATGTTTTAATTATTATTTAAAAAAAAAGAATAAGTGTGTTAATTATAGTAATAATAAAACTAAAACTAAAGATGTGACATGTTTAACTAAGTTGTCACATAAGATAATATAGAAATTATGGTATAATAATATGGTAAGAATAACATTACTCTTAAAGAAAATCAAAGACTTCAAAGTAAGTTCAAGCTTACTTCTAAATTAACCAAATTGTGCAGAACTTCATCGAGAAATAGATGTTGTTTGTTCTATGTGCAATTACCATACTTAATCTTTGCAACAATGAATAAAAATTAAAAAGTACGTATTAAAAGTAAAAAAAAATGTGTGAACAAAACTATCCTTACTTTATTACGCTCATTCCTAACTTGTTAGACATAATGATAAAAAATATGAATAAAAGTTAATAAATGTGTATAAAAGATAAAAAGAAAAGAGTTTTAACGAAAAGTTCACAGTACTGTTCACTTTAACAAAAAAAATCATATTTTTACACTAAAAAGTCAATTCTGATGATATTCACTTTTTTCTTTATTTTGTTCTTATCTTTAAAACTCAAAGTTTTCAAATCTTTTTTATTAATTTTCTTAAAAAAAGTGTGAACACCAATTTATTAACAAACGTGCGACGTTTTGATACGTTTTGATTCGCTTTCTGAAATGGAAGGGTAAGTGACAACATCTAAATACCCGTCCCTCTCATAAAACGAAGCAAAACGTCATACGACTGCTATATAAGCATATATTTGTATATCTTTGTATACCAACAGAACAGAGAGCCGCCACACACCCAGAGTCAATGGAGAAAATCGAGCACACGACGGTGCGCACAAACGGCATAAACATGCACGTAGCTTCAATCGGAGCAGGCCCACCGGTGCTCTTCCTTCACGGATTCCCGGAGCTCTGGTACTCCTGGCGCCACCAGCTTCTCTCCCTCTCCTCCTTGGGCTACCGCTGCATAGCCCCCGACCTCCGAGGCTTTGGTGACACCGACGCGCCGCCGTCCCCGACGTCCTACACGGCCATGCACATAGTCGGAGACCTCATCGGGCTGCTTGACCATCTGGGTATTGACCAAGTATTCCTGGTTGCCCACGACTGGGGCGCCGTCATGGCCTGGTGGTTCTGCCTGTTCCGGCCCGACCGGGTGAAAGCCTTGGTCAACATGAGCGTGGCTTTCAGTCCCAGGAATCCAAAGAGGAAGCCCGTCGATGGTTTCAGGGCATTGTTTGGCGATGATTATTACATTTGCAGGTTTCAGGTAATCAAACTCCATTCATTTTTAGTTTCTGCTTCGATCTGATCTGAAATTTTTAAATCTTTTGCGAATTATTTTATTCAACTATATATTTACACACCAAGGCGAAGGATTTGGACTAAGTTACACAATCCGTCAGTTATCCAGCTCACGAAAGTCAAAACTAATACCTGTCACTTACAGGGGAGGGAATACCTCCGACCGGAATGCCAAGCAGCAAATCTTTTTGCGATTTAGCAGATAATATTAATTTGGTCAGATTCCAATTGCCTTTATTTCATATACGAAAAGATGAAGTTTTGCTAGTTTTGCTGTTTTTGGTTATCTTTTTCCATGTTCATATTCCATTAATGTGAGGGCTTAAACATGGTAAAGTTCTAAAATTGTTTGATTTCATACGGAGATAGTCAAATCCCTGCATTTTCCTGTATAGTATAACTTTTGGAGGCTCATAAAGGTCACATGTTCGAGTCGTGGAAACAGCCTTTTTGCAGTGCAAAGCAAGGGTAGGGCTGTGCATGATAGACGTTCCTCCTGACCTTCGCAAGGCAGGGAGCCTCGTTGACTTGGGGTCACCCTTTATAGTGTAATTTTGATGTTATATGCAGTTTACTGTAGTTAGTATTGCGTAGGCAACCAGAATTACTGATTGCTGTTGTTTTGACATATGATCTTGGTTTGCAGACATTGGCGGATGTGCTCCCAATGGAAACGAGTTTAAATCCCTCTTCCTGTGGTTTAGATTACTTTAAATTAGAATATTGCGTTATCATAGCCAATTCATATATTCATGTTTTGGAGTGTTTTCAATGCTGAAAATCCATCAACTAAAGACAGTTGCAGATTAATTAATCTGACCCATCGGGACTAAATTGTAATCCCTGTTAATGTGAAGGACTGAATATATCAAAGTTTGTTTCTTCCTGATTTTGTTGAAAATTTGTTGTTTGTGTTATAGGAACCTGGAGAGATTGAAAAAGATTTTGATAGCATTGGTGCTGCAGCGGTCATGAAACGTTTTCTTTCCAGCCGCAGTCCAAAACCTCCATGCATACCTAAGGACCGAGGAGTAAAATCTTGGGCTGCTCCAGTAACCTTGCCCGCTTGGCTGACAGAAGAGGATCTTAGCTATATTGTCAGCAAGTTCAGCAAGTCGGGATTTACTGGAGGATTGAATTACTATCGAGCTTTGAACTTGTATGTACATACCACATACCCCTTTGAATTCTCTTTGATTTATCAGAAGCATGATCTTAGACCGTTCTTCGTTGTTGCAGAACCTGGGAGCTTACGGGACCATGGACAGGGCTACAAATCAAGGTACCGGTTAAGTTTATCGTGGGCGAGCTGGACATCACCTATAATATCCCAGGCGTCCAGGACTACATACATAAAGGTGGCTTCAAAAGGGATGTGCCATTTTTGCAAGAGGTGGTTGTGATGGAAAATGCAGCTCACTTCATTGCCCAGGAGAAGCCCGACGAAGTCAGTCAGCATGTGTATGACTTCATAAAGAAGTTCTGATTTCTGTTAGCTAGATCAGCGAGCCGGCTTCCTGCAGTTTGTTTCGCTTTGCAGTTACTTCTATGCAATTACAGGGTAGGCGTGATGATGTCTGAAATATGGTGCGACCTTATGGTGTTGTGCTCCTTATCTCGAATAATTTCGTCCTTCGGGTTTGCTGGTTCTGTAATAATCATCCCCATCATGTAAAAATGAAAATAAAGAGCTTGGTCTGTATTCAATTATGCTTCTGTCCTTATTTTTCTGTTACGCTAATCGGACTGCTAGGGCACCTACCTTACCCTCTCATCATTCATAGCAATTACAAAGAGATTTTTCAATGTGCCAGAAACACAGCCTGATCAAGACGGAGCCAATCTAGGGATCCAATGGAAAGAAATTCATCGTCATTGTCGATGATAGGGGGCAAGGTAGGATATACTTCACGCCGGAGGTTATTTTTTTCATGTCAACACGGCCCTAATAAGCATTGTATAATGAGAGTTTTAACGAAAAGTCCACGATATTGTTCACTAACGAAAAGCTCTTTTCATTAGTTTTCTTTTGGTTAGATATGTAGAAGATTACAGAAAAAATTTCCCCGCTGAATCCGAGCCTGCTTCCTCATTTGTTCTCTGCTTTTTAAGAAGAGAAACAATGAAGAACCAAGACTGCATTCCAGCATTGTTTTATCTGTAATTTCGAATATGGTAGTTGCCATACGAAAAATAGTAATCAAGCACGGTTGAGAACCAAAATCGAATTCAACAAAATCGAAACATCTCCTTCAAACATCTAAATATCTTCCTCTCGAAGCTAAAAAAGTCGTGGACATAACGAAATATAGATGAAGGTAAGCTATCGATAGCATAAGAGTTCATCAAACACAAAAAGTGAAGAAAACACGACTGAGAATAAGGAGATAACTCATGCTTAAACACGGAAACCCTTGCTGTTTCTTTTTCCTCTGGCCTTCTCGAACTTCCTGCCCTTTGATCGCACATAGGGTTTGGTGTGGCTGTGTGGAACACCAGGAGCAGGTCCAAAATGCTTCACAGCTTCACGAGCATTCTTAGGTCCTCTAAGAAGAATCTGCCGAAAAAGATTAACATTTATCAATCAACGTAACTCTATTATTCACAAACTCCTTTGAACCAAAAAGTATCAATAGGAACAGATCTATTAGAACATGGAACGGCCTAAGGGAATGAGTCTCGTTTTACAAAACAAAATACTCTTGCAGATTTGCAATGTTAGAATACATTGGAACAAATTCGCAAATTCCACAAGCATATAATTAAACCAAAAGTACTGCTCATGGCTCAAAATTATACACACCACTCTCTTGCACATTCTATTTCACTTCACTACCATATGCTTCCTACACACGGGGGCACGTATTTCATGATTCTCATCACCATGAAACAGTCCACTACACGACGACCACTAATCAAAGCTCCGGTAAACTATCTACCACAATATGGTTGCCATCATAACATATCCCTTACTAATAAGGGCACGGCCCCAAACACAAACGCACCCATTTCTGAACCCAGAAACATACATTTACTAGAGGTTTGAAACATATACCCATTGTTCGATGCTGGCACTAACACGATTTCAAATTGCTTATGACTAAAAGACTACAAGATTATGCTACTTTCCAATAGATTCGACTTCAAGGCAAGTTTTTCGTGCACGCTTATACGCAAAAGAGCTTAATCAAGCATTCAATTCCAACTAAAACACTAGAAACCAAGATAAACCGAATCACGAATTCTCAAGTCATTTCAACAACCAACACAAACTCCTAGAGATTGCAATTCACATGTATGGAAAATCAAATGCAACTAAAAAATCAACATACCGTGTTCTGGCCAAGAGGAGCTCTGAGAGCCAGCTGGTCGAAAGTCAAGCACTCGCCGCCGGCCTTCTCAATCCGAGCCCTGGCGGTCTCGGTGAACCTGAGAGCGGTCACTTTCAAACAAGGAACTTCGTAAACCCGAATGTCGTCGGTCACAGTCCCGACCACCACAGCAATCTTACCCTCCTTTCCGGCCATGTACTTAATCAATCGGGAAAGGGACAGAGGGGCCTTGTTCACCTTGCTCATGAACAACCTCTTCAGAATCACGGCATTGAACTTGCTGCCGGTCCTCCTCACCAGAAACCGATACAGCTGAAAACAAAGATCCGACAACATAAAACCCACAAAAAAAAAAACAAAACAATTCGGAAACATGAACGCAATCAGTAACAAAAACCCAGAAACATTTGGATTCGAGGGAGGACCTTGACGAGGAGCTTGAGGTAGATATCGTCGGACTTTGGGGCTGTCCGTTTGGTCTTCTTGCTCTTGCCACCGGCGACCAAATCGATACCCTGCGAATACAGACATGAGGAGGAGAGGGAGTTAGAGAGAGAGAGAGAGAGAGAGAGAGAGAGAGGACGGAGTTGGAGGAAATGGAGACGGCGGCGTTAGGGTTTGGAGGGAGAGATTACCATTACGGCTGCTCCTTTGATGCTCTTGAGGCAGAGAGGCGGAGGGTTGTAGGGTTTGTTTGCAGGGAAAGCCGAACATGGTGTTGTGTTTAGGTTTTTATGTATAAATGGGGCATTTCCTATTCAGTTGTCGAGGGTTTTTGGGCTTTGTTTGGTTTTATTGTTCTTCAAGCCCACGAGCCCATATGTAATTTTCATTTCTTTTATTAATGTTTTTTAATCACTTTTGTTACCATGGAATTTTATTTCATGTTTGTTTGGTACTATAGTTCTTCGGATTTGTCCAACTAGTGAGAGATGGTGAAACTTAACAAAAGATAAGAGCAGTTCATGATTTCGTCACGGTAGTTTATCTTTTTGGAAGCTAAAGGCATTTCAACCTTCTTTTGACCATCATCGTGTGATTTACCAGCGTTAAGAATCAAACTCAGAACGTGTCGTGTAATTCACTATATGTAAAATGCATATAACAACAAAATTTTCTTTTCTTTTACAAAAGGAACCAGCTGCCCAAGCCACGATAGTCCACCAGTTTAGAAGTCGAGAAGACTCACAACCACGTTTCAGCTTCTTTTTTTATCATTATAAGTAACACAAAATATTCATATAAATACAAAAAATTGTTTGATAAAATATGACGATAGGAAATATACCACGCAACCAAGACACTTATAATCATGGTTTATAAATTTCATGTAAAATTAGGGACGCCAAATACCATAAAACATGCAGGTGTTTGTTTTAATCCAAGTGACCCGATCCAACCTAATCCAACCAACGAAACCCAACCAACCTTATATTTTATTTTTTTATTTTTGTAACAAAAAGTTTTGAAGGAGATTGTTAATCTCACCACCAATGTTAGGATATACCTACAATTTCGAGTTGAAATGATCTCACACCTAACTACAGCTACGATATAAATTTACGTAAGTATTTACAAATCGCGCACTAACAAGAATTACTAATAAGAGAACTCAAAACAGAAAACCTTACCAACTCAGGCAATCCTATATTTATACCAAAGAGTAACTTAATCATTCATACATCATGGGCCAATCTGATCACATGTGGCCCTACCTGCCACCACTTCCATAGCTGGCAGTGGCACGTGCCAAATTTATACCAAGTTACCAATGCAATGCAATTACCCTTACTCATTCGATTAGAGCAACATGTATGTCCTATTTATATTGTTCTTTAAATCAAAGTTCGATCTCCAACTTCCTGTATTTTTACATTATAATTCGTAACAAAAATCATAAATAACTTTAAATGTGTCGCAAAACAATGTATAGCATATAAACCATTATTTCACTATTCGACACGAGTTTCTTCCTTTTTGCTTACAATATTGAATGATAATTATCGGTAGTTGTACAATATATGATTCAAGGTTTCAAATACTCGGAAGTTTTTTATAAAAAATTTAATGATCAAATACTTAAAGTATAAAATATGTGAAACATAATAGAATTATTCCTTATTAAACAAAGTTGATGTTATCTACACATTTATTTTTATTCTTCGTACGTTTTTATTAATTTTTATCATTTAATATTCTTAATTTATTTGATCTTACTACTAAAAATTTAAATCAGCGCTGTTTAACGGTTAACACTAGAGTTTTTCTCACTGTCGTCCCTCTGGTCACCTTAGTCCACTCTATTACCACGTCAGTCATCGGACACTGCTCTGTCAGAACCGCCGTTGAATGTTACCATAATTCCTAATTACCAAACTACCCACATCAATCTTCAAACACCCGCACCTTCCTGCCTTGACCTTCATACGTATATTTCCCTCGTTCCCGGTGGTATTTCCGTCAAACAACAAAAAAAATCCCCAAATGTCCATGTAACGACCCCGTCTCTCTTTCTCTCTCTTCCATTTTTCCTAAATCCTCTCCGCGCCCTGTTCTCTCTCATCGCCACGATGCTGCCCACGAAGTCTCGGCGGAAAGTGGCTCCGTCCGCCGCGGAAAACGGCGACTCGGCTGAAAAGCTCGACCAGCTGCTCCTCTCCTCCGCCATCTGCAACGGCGAGGATGTGGGACCATTCGTCCGCAAGGCCTTCACTTCCGGGAAGCCCGAGACGCTGCTCCAGCACCTCCGCCACTTCTCCCGATCCAAGGAGTCCGAAATCGAGGAGGTCTGCAAGGCCCACTACCAAGACTTCATCCTCGCTGTCGACGACCTTCGATCTCTCCTCTCCGACGTCGATTCTCTCAAGTCTTCCCTCTCCGATTCCAACGCCAAGCTCCAGTCCGTCGGCCTCCCTCTTCTCTCCTCCCTCGACGCCTTCGTCGAAGCCCGAAACGTATCCCGAAACGTCAACCTCGCGCTTGAATCTGTCCGGAATTGTATTCGTTTGATGGAGCTCTGCTCCCGATCGAATCACCATATCTCCAGCAGCAACTTCTACATGGCGCTCAAGTGCGTCGACACAATCGAGTCCGAGTTCCTGGACAAAACGCCGTCGTCTACGCTCAAGCGGATGCTGGAGAAGAAGATTCCAGAGATTCGGTGGCACATCGAACGGAAGGTCAGTAAGGAGTTCGGCGATTGGCTGGTGGAGATCCGCGTGGTGAGTCGGAACCTCGGTCAATTGGCGATTGGTCAAGCTTCGTCGGCGAGGCAGCGGGAAGAGGATCTGAGAATCAAGCAGCGGCAAGCTGAGGAGCAGAGCCGCCTTAGCCTCAGAGACACTGTTTACGCTTTGGAGGAGGACGATGACGACGGACTCGGCGGCGGTGGGGTTGGAGATGATAGTTATAATGGCGGAGGTGGATTTGATTTGACTCCCTTGTACAGAGCCTATCATATAAACCAGACTCTGGGGCTTGAAGAGCGATTCAAGCAATATTACTTCGAGAATCGAAAGCTTCAGCTCACCTCTGACTTTCAGGTATCTTCCATGACTCCGTTTCTTGAATCGCATCAAACTTTCTTTGCGCAAATCGCCGGATTTTTCATCGTGGAGGATCGAATTGTGAGGACTAGTGGCGGTTTGATTTCGAAATTAGAGGTTGATAATTTGTGGGAAACTGCTGTGAGTAAAATGTGTTCTGTTTTAGAGGATCAGTTTTCTAGGATGCAAACTGCTAACCACTTGCTGTTGATTAAGGACTATGTGAGCTTGTTAGGTGTGACATTGCGTCGGTATGGATATTTGGTTGACCCGTTGCTTGATGTTCTGAGCAAACATAGGGATAAGTACCATGAGCTGTTGTTGTCAGATTGTCGTAAACAGATTGCTGAAGCTCTTTCCGCTGATAAATTCGATCAGATGTTGATGAAGAAAGAATATGAGTATTCCATGAATGTTCTTTCGTTTCAGATACAGACGTCTGATATCATACCGGCTTTTCCATATGTTGCACCATTTAGTTCGACAGTGCCTGATTGTTGCCGCATTGTTAGGTCTTTTATTGAGGATTCTGTGAGTTTCATGTCGTATGGCGGTCAGCTTGATTTCTTTGTTGTTGTGAAGAAGTATTTGGATAGGTTGTTGAGTGAGGATTTGGATGGGGCTCTTTTGAAGCTTATCAGTACATCTATCCATGGGGTCTCCCAGGCAATGCAAGTAGCCGCTAATATGGCTGTCATGGAGCGAGCTTGTGATTTCTTCTTCCGACATGCTGCTCAGCTTTCTGGAGTGCCCTTGAGAATGGTAGAGAGGGGGCGGAGGCAGTTTCCGCTATGCAAAGCCCGTGATGCAGCAGAAGACACGCTCTCTGGGTTGCTTAAACAAAAAGTGGATGGGTTCTTGACGTTGATTGAGAATGTGAACTGGATGGCCGATGAGCCTTGGCCGAATGGGAATGAATATGTGAATGAGGTGATCATTTATTTGGAAACTCTGGTTTCCACTGCTCAGCAAATATTGCCTCCTCAGGTTCTCAAACGAGTTTTGCAAGATGTCCTTTCTCACATATCGGAGAAGATAATAGGGGCTTTACTTGGGGACACAGTTAAGAGGTTTACCATACATGCAATTATGAGCATTGATGTGGATATTCGATTGCTGGAATCTTTTGCAGATAATCAAGCTCCTCTACTCTCAGACGAGGAAGCAAATCAGTTGAAAACAGCACTTGCTGAGTCGAGGCAATTAGTTAACTTACTCTTAAGCAATCATCCAGAGAATTTTCTTAATCCAGTAATCAGGGAGAGGAGTTACAATACCTTGGACTACAGAAAAGTAGTGCTTATTTCAGAAAAGTTGAGGGATCCTTCAGAGCGGCGATTTGGAACCTTTGGTAGCCGGGGAAGCAGGCAGAACCCCCAGAAGAAATCTCTAGATGCATTGATTAAAAGACTCAAGGATGTGAGTTGATTTTGTTATATAGTTGTACGTATGATCCTTGTCCTTTCCCCCTCCCCTACAATTTCCCTTGTTGATTGTGATTGAAATTATTTCATTTTTTGTTTGTTGCTAACTTTGTTATTTGCGGATGCCAATTGTTGTCTTCGGAATATATCATGGGACATGCAAAGATTCTTCTGTATGTATCAGGCTCGTAGTTACTCATTTGTTGTTGTATTGCTTTCTTTTCTTGAAGCGGTTTAAGATTTGCATTATATCTATGAAAAAAAATTGAAATGTTTTGGGGCAGACAACAAGAAAGATTTCTCCCTTTTCCATGGAACCCAATTCCTTCAAGTACTACTTGTTATCGGCTCTGTTGATGTAATATATATACCCTCCTTATTTGAATTAGGATGTGAATCTCATGAGTCTTGGACCTAAATCATGCTGTATGCTCGTATCCTGATGTAAATTTTAGCTTATATCGACATATGGACGCCCATAGGATAAACTATCACCTTGTGATTTTAACTGTTCCACTTACCGCTAGAGCTAGTCTCGTTTAACTCTTAAACTGATACGGTTCTGCTTCAATGCTTACATTTGAGATGATTTTTTTTGTTGCTGGATCTTATGTCAAGATTTTCTTCCTGCTACATATTATTTGCAGATGGCATAATTTCTCAAAGGATGAGTGCTTTGAGAGGTTAGAAGATCCAGCAACAGCGGTGACTTTTGTCACGGGAAAAATTATAAATCGCTGCCATCTATGTTTGTAAGTTTCAAGGGCTCCTTTTCTCTTAGTTTTCAGATAGTTGGTTATCTACGCCGACCGGTTTTTTGACTGCGAGATGTCTATAGTGCTTTCAAATTCTTGTTTCTGCTCACCATGACTAAGAATCTACACTGACAAATAGTCGTGATATCGATGCTTTTTAGTTGCTTGAACTGCCTTGCTTTAGTCTTTGTTTTACGATTTTGCCGTCATCTAACATTTTCTATCGGTTCTAAAATGGAACCGGAACTATGTCGACGATGCTATTTTCTTTATCGTAGAGCTTCTTGTTAATTTCAGTTCACTGTTGTAAAGACCGGTTCCCAAACTTTCTTAGTTTTAATGTGATACGGCCTTTTGTTTTTCGGTTACAAGGATTTGGTAGATTCTCACTCTCGCATGAGAGTGATCGATAACAATCGAGTTCTTGAATGAGGAGTTGTATGGTTCTACCGTGTTGAATGTGTTCATTAGTGCCGTTCTTCGCTTGATCCCGAATCTTTTGATCGTCTGAAGAGTCGACGGCGTTGCGCCACTGGGATTTTGTGAACAAAACCGGAGTACTTGGAGGATACACTGATGCTCAGACGAGCCCATTTTACATCCTTGAGGCCGATTTTAATCTCCATCGCAGTCGCTCTCTCCCTCTAAATGATGAACTGACTGATAAGAAAACATTACGTGTGAGGTTTTGTCAGGAGTATTTTTGTTCACCACTTTTAAGTGCTGGTGATGTCTACCACTCTATATCACTTGTAGGATACACCGATGCTAAAACGAGTCCATTTTACAACCTTAAGGGCGATTTTTATCTCCAACACCGTCACGCTTTCTCCCTCCAATTGATGAATTGACTGATAAGAAAGCATTATGTGTGAGATTTTGCCAATTGGGAATATCTTTGCTCACCATCGTCAAGTGATGGTGATACTCATCGGTCTATTTTATCACCGTTAGATAAGTTTAAATTTCGAAATTTGAGTAGTAAATAGATGGACAAATCTTAAATTTTAAACTATCCAACAATTATAAATAAGGTGGTGAACATTACTACTACTTGAGAGTGATGGCATTGCTACTAAGAATTGTGAGCAAAAATGTACTCTCCCCAATCACTCTATGCTGACAACCATGCATGCGTCTGCATAGATGTTACACTTTCCACCCCTAACTTTCAATCCTATTGAGCAAGCATGGGGAGAGATTTTTCAATATGACCGGTACACAGGGTGATACATTACGTGTCATTATACAAATTCTGGGAAATGTGTGCTAAAAAGTTAATAACTTAAAAATAAAATTTCTCACCACTCCTATTATAACACGTGATGTACCACTTGTGTTCCTGTCACAACTAAAAATTTCTCCAACTATGGGTGCTTTATGAAAGCCAATCCTGTCTTTATTTTCCAAATGTCGATAAATCCAATCCTATTGAGCAAGTATGGGTGCTTTACGGGTGTGGGACAGAAATGCAGAAGTGTGCCGGAGTGATAGTTAGGGATGGCAATTCAACCAGTTAAACTCGATAATTGTGAATGGTTGTCTGAATAGACAGATACAGGGATAAAAATTCAAGATATGGAAAAAACTATGAATATTATTTGGTTACGGTTTTTAACATGGTTATAGGAGTTCTTGATCTATAACGGTCTCCACATTCAAACCATATAGTATATATAATTTAATGTTCACAAATATTTGCTTTTGTCATCATTTTTTTTTATAGAACTAATTTGCCTTAATTTGCTATCATATGTGGCTTATCATGAACATCTCAAGAAAGTATTATTATGTTTTTGATGATCTAGATGTGGATATCTAATAACGAGGTTAGTAGCTATTAAATTATAATGTGTTAGTTAAACAATTAATTATTTTTCATTGACGAAGATAAATATATTCGTGAACCTATGATGAATCCATTTTGTCATCCTTTTTCTTTTTTTTTCACAGGACTAACTTGCCTTAATTTGCTATCATATGTGACTTATCATGAACATCTCAAGGAATTATGGTTATGTTTTTTATGTAATTAGCTAATAACTGGGTTAGTAGCTATTAAATTATAATGTTTTAGTGAAACGAATAATTATTTTGCATTGACGAAGACAGATATAATCGTGAACTAATGAAAAATTCGTTACTCTATAGCTATGATTATTGGTAATCCCGATAATTAATTTGCATTATAAATATTGCTAATTTTCATAATCATGGAAATGAAAATAGCATTTATTCTCCAAACCGAACATTGTCACCCATACCGCTGATTATGGTGTATTAGTCGTACACATGATCTAGACAAGAATGATCTCCCAACCAACCCCTACGTGGCACCATGTAGGCTTTAGGAAAAGCGCAGCTCAAGAGTAGGGTGAAATTTACGGAAAATGATTCTTGTCTGATTCTTTTTCTAGGAATTTGAGAAATGTTGTAATTATGTTCGTTTATTGTATATTGTATAGTCAATTTTTGTTAAGTACTATTTATATTACGATGAACGGACATAATTATAAGATCTTTTGGACCTCCAAGAAAAGGATCCTTTTCCGGAATTTACGACAACCACACTTTACACGACAAAAGGATAAACGTCGTGCATTGAAAACCATTGATGAGAATGGTGACAAGCAAAACTTACGAATGGCATTCTCCCACGCTCAATATCGATAAATAGCTCACTTCTTCTACCAAAAAAAAAACAAAAAAAAAGCTGCAAGAAAGCTTCGATCTGGAACTCATGGCTCTGTCGTCGGTGTTACCCGTCGCCGTACTTTTGGTTGTTCTCTCATCGTCCTTCGCCTACGGCGACGACGGGCCATCAGCCTATAAGGTGCTTCAAGAATACGACTTCCCGATCGGCCTTCTTCCTAAAGGAGTGACAGGGTACGAATTAGACAGAGTCTGGCAATTTCAAGGCGTATTTTGACGGAACTTGCAGCTTCTCCATTGAAAATTCTTACCAGCTCAGGTACAAATCCACCATAACTGGTGTTTTGTCCAAGGACAGGCTCAAAGATTTGAAGGGCGTCAGTGTTAAGGTACTCTTCTTTTGGCTCAACATTGTCGAAGTGGTTCGCGATGGCGAGGAACTACGATTCTCCGTGGGGATTGCTTCGGCGGACTTCTCCATCGACAACTTTGACGAGAGTCCGCAGTGCGGGTGTGGATTTGCTTGTAAGAGTAGAGCTAGCTCTATGTAGATGTTTCGTTAATTGGCCGTCAAATGTTTCAGCATGCTTTAAATGATGTTCATCTACAGTATACTGGTTTAATGCTTGAATACATATTAACTTATTGATGTATGAGAGCAAAGAGTTTGTAGCTCAAGCAGCTAATAACGTTTTCTCTTGCATCTGACATCTTTTGTTTGAATTCTCTCTCCAAATTTCGATTGTACAACTATAACTAAATTTTATTCTATTTTAAATGGGGTCAGTTTGATCTAGTCTAGAACTGAGAGCCGTGTAGGAAGACTTGCCCTCGCCACTATTTGTATGAATCCTAGCAATGGCGGAACCAATATTTTAGTCTAGAAAGGGTCCAAATATCTCGATCTGAAATGTTATCCTAATCTTAATAATTTGACATGTGGTGACCAACCTACCACCATCATCTTTCATAAACCTAAACATGAACCCTCTCTAACTTTCTTCCTCTCTCCTTCCTCCTTAAAGCTAATAGGCACCAGATTGGTTGACACCTGAGAGTCATCAATCTCAAATCAAACCTGAAGAAAGAAAGAAATTAAACTAAAAACCTTGAAAATCATAAGCATGTATAGCTCTAAACTTTTCTGCGTGAAAAAAAATGTTAGGATGGGCTTAGGACTATATCGTGGTTCCTTCATGGCTCCACCAATAAATCCTATAACGCTAGTGCGCTCAATTTTGTACCAAGTCTTCTATTAATAAGAGAGTGGCTTTGTTGTATGCAAGAATGTTTGTTGGACTATCGTGCAATATACATGCACAAACGAAGTAGATGGAATGCTCTTGGTTTTGCCTTTCAATATTTTCTCTATATATTACAGGCGGCATAACCAAACAGTCAAACACTTCATCAAACCATGTCTCCAAAGGCAACACTGCTACCAAGCCTAATTCTCTTCTTTCTGATCTCCATCTCAATTCCGTCATCCTTCGCCGCCGATGAGCTGACGGTTTACGAAGCCCTCGAGGAGTACGACTTCCCGGTCGGCATTCTCCCCAAAGGCGTACTGAGCTACAAGCTGGACAACTCGACAGGTAAGTTCTCAGTCTACTTGAATAGCACTTGTACATTTACCATCGACTCGTATAAGTTGAAGTACAAGTCCACCATAAAGGGTGTGATAAAGACTGACAAGATCTCAAGCTTGAGTGGCATCCAAGTTAAGGTGCTCTTTCTGTGGCTGAGCATTACCACCGTGACTCGTGACGACGATGAGCTAGAATTCTCGGTCGGCATCGGCTCCGCAAACTTTCCGGTCAGTAATTTCGATGAGAGTCCGACCTGTGGTTGCGGTTTCGATTGTGTCAACGGGAAAAGAAAGATTAAGAATTTGGTGTCCGCACTTTTAAGTCAATCTTTAGCTTTTTAGTGCCTAAATTTCGGTTTTATGCTTTGATTAAACATGATTTGAGAATAAATGCTATGATATCATTTGTTAGTGAATATTATTTGCTTCTTTGTATGACTTATGAAACTCTAATCTACATAATTTTTTTTAATTTTAGATAAAACAATTACAATCTCAAGTAGTGTAACTCTTAAAACAAAAAGTTGTTCAATTCAACTGCAAATAGATTATGAGTTTGTTTTGAAGTGTTTTTCAAATGGAAAGAAACGTTTTAGGTCAAAATGTTTTTGTAACCAATCCTTGGTAAATATGCAAACCTTGAAAAGCATTTGACGTGCTTTCTGCAAATATTTTTAATCAATTTGAAAACACTTCAAATGAGGAATATACTTGTTTGAATGGTTGTTGCAAATGGTTGGGAAAAAACACGATAAAGAAAAAAGAAAGGGAAAAAAAGGGGTAATCAACGTGCAGAAAAAGTGGTTGGGCAAAAAAGCCCAATGGGCCACATGATGTCGGGTCCTTGTAACTGCTATGACACCGCAGTAGTCACCACGTGGTTTGCCACCTAAGAGAACTTTAACGAAAAGCTTGTAGTACTGTTTATTTTAACAAAAAAATCATATTTTTATATTAAAAAATCAATATTGGTACTATTTACTTTACCTTTTATTTTTTTTATTATTAAAAATAAAAATTTTCAAATTATTTTCATTAATTTTTCTTATTCCAAAAGAACTTTAACGAAAATCGTGTTCTCCACCGCCGTAAGTCAACCCACACCAACCCACTCTCTGTACCAAATATTCTCCCGGAAAAAAATAACAACAAAACAAAATTTCGGAGAGTGAAAAAAAAATCGGGAGAAAAACATCATGTCACGCACAGGAATTATTGCCGTCATCGTCCTCCTATCAACGTTCTCCACGTCACCAACTCTCTCTGCCGCTGCCAACGGCGGCGAATCGCGGTCTGTGTACGACGCAATCGAAGACTTTAACTTTCCGATGGGTCTGCTCCCGAAGGGCGTCACCGGATACGAGCTCGACGGCAACGGAAAATTCCGCGCGTATCTGAACGGCTCCTGCCGCTTCTCGCTGGAAGGGTCGTACCAGCTCAATTACAAGTCCACTATTACCGGCACGATCTCCCAGAACAAGCTCTCCTCGCTGACCGGGGTGAGCGTCAAGGTCCTGTTCCTGTGGCTCAACATCGTTGAGGTCACCCGGAGCGGCGACAACCTCGAGTTCTCGGTGGGGATCGCGTCGGCGGCGTTTTCGATCGACAATTTCTATGAGTGCCCGCAGTGCGGCTGCGGGTTGGATTGCGTCAATGGCGGACAAGTAAGGAAGATTAAAATGCCTCTTGTTTCTTCGATTTGAATTGGGACTTGGGGCTGCGGAGGAGGGAGGGTTTTAGGGATTCGGAATTATAGGTAGTGTTTGTTCACACCTTGATTTCTTAAAGATTATGGATTTAATGCTTTCAATAATTTTCATTTATGCAGAAATAATTTTTGTTTTATGCGTTTGTGGCATGTTTTGTTGTGGAAAATTAGATGTTTTATGATAGGATAGTGGTATTCAATTCAGTTCATTTAGGTTTTATGTTCTGACATGTTTCGGTTATGCTTCTTCTTCAATTCATTCGACGTGACAGCCGGAATTTGAGAGGGTGTGTGGAGGTGAAAAAGGGGTGTGCGGATAGCACCACCCATGTTAGATTAATTTAGGTCATAATGGCGTTGTACCGATTATGCATATGGCGGTTATGGTGGATTGTAGAAAGCTAAAAGCTTGTATCTTGATTGTTCGAGCTTTATGCAATATGGTTTAGGCCAAAACAAGTAATGCATTGCTTGCTGTTGTTCTTTCGGTTGCAATTCTTATACTTTCTTAGCATTCAAATTCAGGAGACAAGTTGTCTAGTAACCGGATTTTCATGCACGTTCGTAGATTTCATGTTAGTAGGGAATGTTTGATTCATGTTTCTTTATTGTAGTTTACTGTGTGGATGGATAGTTTTGGAAATGTGAGTTAGGTGGAGACGGAGAAGGCGCGTTGAATAGTACTCTGCTTGAGAGTTTGAGGTTTCAGATTAGGTTTAGGTATGCATTACGGACTTAGAGTCCGTGGGATGTAATGCGCAGATTACAATATGCTTGTACTATTATCTACCTCAAGTTTGTATTGATCATGCAATGCGCATATAGAAACTGGACCTTCAAGGGTGTTGAATACTTTAGACTGAGATTGTTATTTGCAGTTACTATTAGAGGTGAACTCAGTGGCTTAGCTGACAAAACGCTGCGTATCTATCGTCTGAAATGCTCGAGGAAGTTCTTATTTTGGTTTTCGAGAATAAGGAATTCAGGTTCAATACCCTTAAAAATCTTTTAGTTCCCAGTTCGACATAGTTTTTGTACTTAGTTGCCTCTTATGCCGAGCTAACCCTTACCTTCTCGTATCTTATCAATGTTAGCTTAGCGTTTGTTTGCTCAAGGTGTAAGAAACGTTTAGGAAGGAAATGCCCCATGACACATGTACCCCAACCCCGAGGAAATCTGCACTGTGTTATAGTTAGATTTCGGGGCAATGGTCGTAACTGCAAAGGAAGTTGGGAAAATTTAGAATTCGGATTAAGATTGGGTAGATGTCAGTGGCCTTAAGCATAGATTTTGCAGGTGAAAGATGTATAGTTTAAAACTTCATGTATATACCAAAGAATTGTGTCGCTTGTCGAATTTCCAAACAGACAAATAGGTCAAAAGGATTGAAAACCTGGGATATCAATTAGAGTTTGTTTGGTACTCTAATTAAATCCAACTTTTAAAACTCAAAAACAATTTTCAAGTTTTAGGCTTTAAAAATTTATTTGGTAGGATTATTTTAAAAAACTGAACTCAAGACTAACTTAAAAATATGGTATATTCTCTAAAAACAAAAAAAAAAAAAAAAAAAAAAAAGAGTTTTTAGTTTTTAAACTTAAACTCACTCATTTCTTTTCTCTCCCTCCTCCCCTCTCCCTCCAAATCTATCTCTCTCCCTTTTCTTCTTTCTCTTTCCCTTTTTTTTTTTACCTTTTTCGTCTCTCTTCTAATCCGCTCTCTTCATTCTCTCGGTTCTTTCTCTCAATCCTCTTCCTCTCTATCTCGTCTGATGATCTCTCTTCTTTCTCTTTCCTTTAATCATCTCTTACTTTCTTTCCTCACCTCTCCTCTTTCTCCCTCTCCTACAACCCCTTCTTTTTAGATGCCTTTGTCTAGTTTAAGTCGTAAGATTTAAAATTTTTAAATTGCAAACCAATCAAGTTTTTGAGTCTTCAAGAAAATTGTTTTCAAAAAATGTTTTGAGAAATGATAAAAAATTTCAAATAAGATACCAAATAGGCCTTAGATATTTGAAGAACTTCATTCGGGGGAGACTTGAGATGTGTGTGCAATGGCGGTTTTCAAGCTGTGTTGGAGAAATCCTCTTCCAAATATGCCCTGCCTTGTCAATTGGGCTTATGGTTTGCCTCATAAGGGTTTCCATATGGTGCCCCTCCGTCTTGGGCTTTTGCCAGTTTTTTTCGTGCGAAATAGCTACAACCTCGAAAGACAATTAGGCCATCTCCAATGCAAGGCTAAAGGTCCAAAAGCTAAATAATAGTCTGGTTTGTTCAGAAATTCATCTCTAACCGATGGTTGGATATAATTCTATGGAGCCAATCGAGCCATTATTAGGCCAAAAGGTCGTCAGGGTGGCCAAATATAACCGTCCTCTTAGCCTTTTTTTGGAGGCACAGCTTTTCAATTACAATAATTAATTCAAATTCAATAGGTATATTTGAAAACGTCCAACGTTAGTTGAATTAAATTAACCAATAAATTTAAAGTATAAACTTAAAACTAGTAAATTATTGAGGGAGCCATATTTAGCCTATTCAGTTGGAGAAGGTATATGAGTATGGCTTAACACTGTTTATTTAAAATAATTTTTTGTATGGCTATAATTTTGAACGAGACTATGTTTAGTTCTTTCAGTTGGAGATGGCCTTAGTTTCTTAGCCCTCCATCCGGAAATTTGCTGATGATTTCTAGGTATGAATGGTGACATTGAACAAATTGGATACGCCTACATGCCTAATTTCCTTTTATTTCCCCACAATGGATACGCCTAATTTTTAGCAAGCCGTGTTATGAAAAAGGAGCAAAAAGTTGTGATTAGATGGTGTCTTTCTAGTTGTATTAAATTCAGGGATCGCGTAGTTTTGTGAGAGCTTTCCGATGGGTGACGTGGTCTGAGTGCTCGGCATAAGTTTTTATTGTGCTACTCAGAACATCTTCAAAAAGATATCAAATCTTAGGTGAAGATGCTAATGTGCATATTTAACATCAAAAATCATTCTAACTAAAGTATTATTTGTTGACGGGATTGAAATCTTTGTGATTAATTAATTTTAATAGTGAGTCTCTTATTCCATTAATATTTCAACCAATAAAATTTTTGTTTCAACAATTTGTTTTTTAATAAATAAAACCATTTAAATCTCTATATTAATAAAAAAATAACATTTGATAATTCGGTTGGAGAAATACAAATTTGACGTAAGACTTATCCGTCATCAATTATAATTTGAATGTTATAATTTGACATTTTGAAGATGGTATTAGTTCTTCAAGTTTGGATAGTTTGACTTGGTGATTCTCCCTCATCTTGATTTGCAAATTGCAAACAGTTCATTAAGAAAGTAAGGCCAACCCAGTAAATGCATCGTCACGTCAACGTCAACGTCAACGTCGATGCTTATTGCTTGGCTGGCTCTTCACAGCTCAAACAAGTGGACAATTTAAACCCGTTATCGTGTTTAAAACTTACGTGAAACCGGGTGTATCTCTCGTCACCGCTTCACTTATGTCAAACAAAGCGGAGACTCGACAATTCACCGCATCTAGCTAGCTAGGAGCTGGCATTTGGCATTGTCGTTGGCCAACATACATTGCATATGTGGCTTCAAATTTGGGCTACCCTAAAGTTTATAATATCTTTGGAATTGGCAAACAAGGTGACACATATTGATACCGATTCCCTATTTTATCTGCGCCTAAACTAATCCCATTGGTTTTGGACCTAACTCTAATAATTCTCCATCATCATGTTTACAATATTCATCCAAACCCTATCCTCACATTAGTTTTGAAATTGATTTTGGATTCCAAACAACGAACCTTTGCGTTTCGAATTTATACCTAAACTTTTTTAAAATTGATTTGGTAATTTAATAACATCCCACCACACTACGATATATTCAGCATATGTCTACTTCCCCATTTGTTTTAATATCCAAATGGTTTGAGTTAAATTTAATCACTAACGCCTTCATTTTCCTAAATTTGCAACACCCAGGAGACCCTTGTAGAGAAAGATTTGGAAGATAAAACACTTGTACATCACGAAGATGAAGATAAAATTACGTTTTCAAAATCCACTGAAACAAATGACGAACCCAAGAACAATGAAGTAGTGAATTAAGTCATCAGAAAGAGAGCATGTGAATCATTTTGGTTCTACATACGCTCTTAATGTAAAGTCAGTAGAATAAAGGTGCAAACTGAAAGACTGATGAATATGGGTGATTTTTGAAATTGTATGCAGTTGGAACTTAGAAGTCTTGTCCTTTTGGTTGTACATAAGCTTTTAATATAAAGTCAGTAGAATATAAATGCAAATTGAAAAACTGATGGATATAGGCGATTTTTTTTAAATTGTATATAGTTGAGACTTAGAAATTTGCCCTGAAGAATATTTTGATGTTTTAGTATTGAAGATATCTATATATATGGTTGTGAATTGAAGCTGCTAATTAAGCCTTCTCAAAGAATATTTAAAGTATGATTCTACATTTTGTAACTTCAAACCTACTAAACAATATGTATATAAACAATAATATCTATTTCTTTGTTTTTTTAAAAAAATTCTAAGAAACGATATTATCTTCATTAAAGTTAAGGAATGAGCTTAGCTTCATAACGAGCAAGCAATAATGTGATTCAAATTCACCTTTGCGCGAGAATTGAATCTAAGACATCTTACTTACAAATAAAAAATAATATCACTAAATCGTAATATTAAATGATAACAATAATATCATCTTAAACGATCCTATAATACTGCACGGGTATTTTTGCTAGTGCCAATTAATTATCGGCAGTTATTGAACAGTAGCAGTCCATTCCCTTATTCTGTATGCACTTATCGACCATTTATATGAATTTTGTAAGTGGAACTTGCTTTGGGTAGTTGCCAAGTTTCCACGGCCATTGACAATTTTTTAATTGGTTGCGGCGGCACATGATAACACATGGCGACCGGAGACGTTGCCGCTTGATTTTGGCCCCTGGTTGCGTAGCTAATCTACTAGCACTGCCGAACAATCATCTGCCGCAATCATTGGCTTTATAGAGGCTAAATTAATAAATTAATTAAGAGCTTTTAGTGTGCAACTTAATCACCTCCTTAATTACGTGCACACATCCATCTTCGTTCCAAGCCAATACTATCATTGTATGCTCATTGACATGCATTAGAATTACTCCCATTCACGAACCTTGTTAAAGTATTGGTATTGGAATAATTCTAATTATTAACTTTTATGCATCTACGACGCCGAAATATGTGAGTTTCAATTCAAAATCCGTAACCTTATGCTTGAAAAATTAAAAATTAAATTGATTATAGGATTACTTGATTCCGCTCATTCTATCGCGAAGCTAATTCTAACTTATTTGGTACCTTGATTCAAATGGGTAAACATAGAACTATTATTCCTTCACTCTTCCGTCCTTCATCCTTGTGGGTTTCCATGAAATTTGACGTAATTTTTCAATCTAATAATCTTGTAATCTTGTTTAGAGAAATGCTAAGGAGTGACTCTCTAACACCTCATAGTTTGTTAGCCTACTGAATTATCAGATAATCCATAAAAAATCACACTTCAAAAGAATCTTCCTAGCATTTCTCTCATGTTTAGTTTATCTATTGAATCTAGGACATACTCCATACGAATATAATCTTCTATTTTCTTGTTTTCTTTGGATAAGGATTGTCTGACCTCCCATTTCCGGTGCCCTCCCGTGCTTGATCACTGACTTAACCGTGACCACATAAACAAGAAGGCATGTGAAGGTATCGGAAGTGGAAGGGCACACAATCCTTATCCATTTTCTTTTACCAAAACCAGAAGACCATCATAAATCACAATCACACAAAACGATATGCAGCGACATAAATATTAATTAAATTTAAGCGATTGATTAGAGAATTAATAATCCTTTTATTGCCAAAGTTAACTAATACATGCTTAAGTCCCTAATCAGATCAGAGGACGGAGGAACCAGCTATTACCACAAATCATACATATTTTCCGGCCAAGTCTGAACTCCGAAGAATTCAAACACAAACACGCCGACAGCCCATTCCTCGTACAAACTTCCTCGTACGTTTCAACAATAAACTACAAGAATTTTTGTTTTTGTTTTTGTTTTCATCTTTAATTTTATTAATGCTTCTTCAAGAGCGCCGCGCGCAGCTCGGCAGCGTCGATCTTCTCGGCGCCGTTCTCGGGTCCGTAAACCCCGGTTTTTGGGTCGGGGACCCACGAGACCTTGAAGGTGGAGCCCACCTTTTCCTCACCGGAATTCTTCTTCGCCACGTTTACGCTTCTGGGATTAGCAGCACCTCCTCCTCTCACCACGCTCGACGCAACTCCTTGCGAACCCGCCGCATATCCACGTCTGCATTTCCATGAAAAAAACCATCATTAACATTTAATTAATATTAATTTTAAAGCATTAATCACGATTATAAACTATTCACTTTCGGTTCACGTGACTAACATGCACCGAAAGTGTTCCGCTTTAAGAAGAAAACCGAAATTAACAGCCGATTAATTATTAATTAAATACAGCGAAGAAAAAAAAGATCTTCACCGTCGGAACGGCAGTGGTGCATGATTAATTTAAGATGCCGTCACAAAAATATGATTTCTCTCTCTTACGGGGAGAGAAACCGAGATCGAGAACAACAAAACTTGGATTTGATTGTTAGAATTGGTTAGTACCTGGTGATAGAGCTCGAGAAACCGTCGACGACGAGAGCAGAGAGAAACTTAGCGTTGGAGAAAGAACGAGCCATTGTTTTTTCTTCGGTGACTGAAACTTTTAAAAGAGATCGGAATCCAAACACTGCTGCAGAAAGCTTAGTAGCAGAGAAAACCTTCACCTTCTACAGCAGCGAGAAGAAACAAGAAGCTCTTTTGCTGCGGCTCTTTCTTTCTCTCTCTAAAAACTCTGTGGAATTGCGAAGATGGTTTTAGAGATTGGGGGAGAAGGCGCTTATATAGCGGAAGAAAACGAGAGACGCGTGGATTCCAAACAAAAGAAAACGCTGTTTAAACGGAGCGGGGAAAATCGACTGACCTGTAGTTTGTTGCCACGTGGGATTAAAGCCAAGAGCCGTTTCCGATTGCTTTTGACAACTTGTGATCGGACGGTTGAGAGAGAGTGGGGTATGAGTGGACGACTTTTCTTTTACCTGAGTCAACGTCAAGAGGTGAGGAAAGGTCGGCGTATTGGAGGGAAGTTTTTCTTTTCAAGCGTCTGTTTTATTGTCTAACGTGGCGTACTACACCATGTTTCGGGCATATTACAAAATTTCTTTGGCACGAGTGCGGTGTCTAGAATGTTTGAGATAATGGTCGTCGGATGGAAGGACTTTTATGCATGATTACTGGTCGGTGCAATAGTTATAAGGTTATGTGTAAGTTTTTGTTCATATAAAATTACATTTTAATTTGAAATCTCATGATTATTATGTATCTGTATCTATATCATATAAATTGTTCTCGTGTATTCTTTGATGTATTTGTTCCTTTCCACTATAACACATTTTTTTTATTAATACACATAAAAGACAAAAAACATAATTATGTTGTGAGTGTAAAATAATAATACTACGTGGTACAGATGAAAATAAATTATGAGGCATACACGTGGTAGGAGAACGAAAGAAGAAGTCGTGGCGGAGTTTCGTGGCTGAGTTCTGGAAGGTTTTAAGGCAAATTGGCCACGTGAAGTATGGAAAGGTCCAAGTCAAGGGTCTGTATTATTAGGAGTCATGACCACTAGACTACTAGTGAGCGGTGATGAAGAAAGTTCCAACTTTTGTCCAATTTGTTGTCTTCGTGGTTACCTATCGTTTTCATTTTTCATTTTCCTTTAACAGCTGTGCAAATAAGAAATCAATCCAATTACACAACCTCCACAAATAGCAAATGAACATAATTTAGGTGAGCTTTTCTTTTAAGATCGAGATTGAAAGGGAATGAGATTCACTTGAGACTTTTGTGTTCAAGGCGCGACGACTAAGACATTTCTACCTTTTAAGAGAGAGAGAGAGAGAGAGAGATTGACAAAAAAAAAGAGTGGGAAAGATATCCAAGTTGTTCAAGTTTTTGAGTTTTTATGAAGTGAGTCAGGAAGATGAGCTAACTGATGACAAGAATTGAAGAGTGGTTCAGGTTTCTTGGTGGATGAGCTCCGGATGCATAAGTTCAAAATGGATCTCAATCCAAATAAAAAGGTTTGTCAGTGTTTAATGAACAAATTTTATAGCAGAATTGTTATACTATCACACAATTTTACAATTTACATATATTATAATAAGTGCTTGACTAATTGTCAGTCTTAAATAGAAATCAGTTGTCGCTTTATAGTAAATTTGTAATATCATTTTACATTTAGTGTTTAAGCAAGTTTGATTCGTATATAAATGATTAAGGCATCTAGAATTTAATTTCTATAGCATTGCTACTATAAATAGTTAGGGATCAAGCTCATTAGTTTAATATATTAAAACTCATAAGTTTAATAATAAAATTTGAAATTTCGAGCCATCATTTGAACTCATATTTAAAATTAGAATTAAATTCCATTTTTCGACCGAGTCTAAAAAGCTTGACAATCAAAATCAGTATTTCTATGTAAAGATCCAAAAAATATGAGTTAAATGAATTATTCACACAATTATAGGTGTAAGTAGTGTCAACGTAGATGTTAACAAGAATAATAATCATGATTTTCTTTTAATTAGTTGAATGATTACAACAATTCCTTGTTTATTGTTAATTGTGAGATACTCCAAAGCCACATCGCCCAAAATAATATAATTTGAATTTTTAATAATGTCACGAATATATAAAGTGACATGAAGACAGATACCCAACTAACTAGCCAAGTGGGTGAGATATCTTTGTGTTGTATATAATCGGAATACCATGACAGAAGAGAACAGCAGGCTGCTTTCTTTCGAAACCGCGGCGTCGCATCCGGATTCAGCCGGCAGTTAATTGCAACTTGCCCTGCTGAAGAATTAGATCGATGCAGCTGCCGCCACCAGCAGCAGCATGCATGCATGCATGCATCCTTTAGGCATTTTCTTGTTATTATGTTTTGTGTCATGTCACTCCTGTGTGGTCCTACTCCTCCACTAGTCATACGTCTTGTAGGAGACGCATAAATGGAGAAGAATTTTTATAGGACGGAATTTTAAATCAAGAGTACGAATTTTATTATGTAAAAAAGGTCAAAATTTAAAAGACGTAACGAAGCAGAATCAACTAGTACAAAGATGTGGTTATATGTATCGCACAATGTAATTAACTTGTAATATCGGCATAATTTTTATTTATGAGAGTTGTAATTCATGCATGTTTGATATAAAAAAAAGATATACATATATGAATAATACTAAAAAAATGAGTAAGAGTTCCTACTCAAAATTATTCGTAGCAAGTTCATAAAATTTCGTATTTATGATCATAACCTTTTATATTATAAATCACTCAATAAAGATTACCTTTACAAAAAATCAATTAAACTAATATTGTTTAGTCAAGGAGGTGTATAAAAACATTGTAACGGAAAAATTTTGAGTAAGAGGTCATATTCATCGTTGAATCACTAATTAGACATTGTTCTACACATACAACTAGCAATGGAGAGATTGTTTTCACGGCTCTCTCCTACGTCCTCTACCGCACTGAATCATTGGGGTTCATTGGTGACGTCCAGTCTGTGTTTCTAGAAAACCCTAAGAAGTATATGGTATTCGTCAAAATACAAAAGAAGGTACCATACTATTGGTGGGATTATTTGACTATTTGCTTTTTCTAGATACCGCAAGAACAATTCAAAAAGCCACGGCCCACGTCCATCAATTCAACAATGTGGCACGCGATTTAATATTTCTATATAAAATATAAGAATATGGATAAACAAACAATTTTCACTTGTATATCATCTCTTCTTCTGTTATTTTATAGCAGCCATTTCCTACCAAGTGGATGGAATGCGACTCTACAACGAACACAAGGGTCGGGGTTAAATTATGAGTGCAGCCAAGTGCCCCAAGTGGGAGAGGTCAAGGAACCTCCACAACAATCACCTCTGTTTTACATAGCACTGGTGAAATGTTATCGCGTTGTCTCGTGTTAATATGTACAAGTATGTGTTAATGTAGTGTTGTTCTATTGTCACAAAAAGTTACATTGACGGTGTATCTGAGTTATGTGCTCACATGTATGCCAAAGACAAGGAAAGAGGTTATATCATCTCTGTTATTGGCATGCATTCTATGTTGTGTCATTTTCAAAGTTTTATTGGTTGGATCGAGTTCTAATTCAAATAAATTGAACTAACATATGAATCACACGAAGAGTTCAAAGTCAATGAATGCTTGAATTGGAATTGTTAAATTGGACAACAATTCAACATTTTGTGTCTTACAAGTGTCATCTAGATGAATGAAACTACATAATATTGGCTTAGACCTAATTCGAAGTTTATCTAGTCCTAGCTAGTCACCAAACTGACTTTAAAATTTGTGCTTCTTACGCCTTTGGTGGCTAAGATTCTAATAGATTTGGAAAATTCACTAATGTGTTGAAGTAAGAAATTATGTCAATTTTTTTTTTTCTTATCTAAATTGAAGGAAGAATATGATTACTAATGAAAAAACTTATCTATCTTAATCCTTTCATTTTGGTGGCAAGGGAAAGTTTACTAATGATAATTATTCGAATTACTAAACTCCTCTATGTTTACTAGCACATATTAAGTCGAAAAAAAAAATTGTTGGTAACACCTTAAAATCCTTAACCCAATATTTGAAAATCCATGATTAATTTGAGGGACCAGAGTAGTCGTTCTCATTCTGTTTTTCCTTTCTCAATTCATGCCCTTTCTCATTCTATGTAAGTAAATATGTTATAATAGGAATAAGTTTTGTTTACAACTAATCCGTCTTCTGACTTCAAATTAGTAATTAGCATCTATTTCTCGTTAAATATACATTGAATTTAACAAGGTATTCAATCTGAGTGAGTAGTTTTTTATAAACCCAAGTTTCGTCTCTGAACACCCATCACTTTTATTTAAAAGAAAAGACTTTTAAACTCATAATTGCCACAAATGGCTTAATAATATTTGAAGGAATTACATTATTTTCTTTGGACATCCACATGGTTTTGAAAAAGCGGCATGGGTTAATAAGCGACTGAATTTCACTTTACCATTCTTATCTAAACTTTGCGAGTATTCCTCATATTGCGTTTGGTTATAATGCAAATTTTGCTTCACGAAATAAAAGAACCATGCAGTCACATGTAGACATAGAATTATGCCATCAAGCGAAAATTATGAAGTTGAAGAGAAAGCCTTCATAATTAATACAAGGAGAATAGGTGTCCAAAGAAAATGAAAAATCGGTGCCTAAAGAAAAATAAATTCATAAAACGTAAAAGAAAGGTATTCTTGAAAGTTTAGTAAATTATTTTGGGTGTCCAAAGAAAAGTGTGAGAGTAAATTGAATTTCTAGAGAAACAAGAGTGTCTAGAGACAAAACTTGGGTGTACACTGAACCAATCAATACAACGTTATCCTTGCACACCAAATTGGGCCTAAAGCATCTCAACCATTGGGCCTTAAATTTAGCTAGTAGCAAAAAGTGAAGGCCCATTAATCTACCCAAAGTTAAATTAGGGCCCAAGTGCAATGGGTGCCCGCCTTGCCGTCGAGCTCGTCGGTCAGCATAAACCGCTTCGTCTCCACCGCAGCTTCAAAACAAAATCCGAAACTGAGCACTGAGAAAACAGACATGGCAGAGAACAACAGCGGAGGCGGCGGCGGTGGTGGCGGCGGCGAAGTCGAGGCGAACCAGACGATCTATATCAACAACCTGAACGAGAAAATAAAGCTGGACGAACTGAAAAAGTCGCTTCTGGCTGTGTTCTCGCAGTTCGGGAAGATTGTGGAGGTCTTGGCTTTCAAGACGCTCAAGCACAAAGGTCAAGCCTGGCTCGTCTTCGAGGACGTCTCCTCCGCCACCAAAGCCCTTCACCAAATGCAGGGCTTCCCCTTTTACGACAAGCCTATGGTATTATGCAGTTCTAACCTAATTTTCTCAATTTATTTAAATTTGGCAATTTAATATTTCTTTGATTTTGTTCTTTTCTTTGAAATGCGGTTTGTATTGTTAACATAGTGCACAAAAGGGTATATATAAGCAAGTGAATTGAAATGGGAAAATGGATTTTAGGTGGTGGTAAATTCAAATTTGGAAATTGGGCATCATCCAGCTCTGGTTGTTAGTCAGTCTTGATGATGCCCGAACGCGTAAATTAGAACGGCTATATGATAGCGCTGCGGCTGGGGGAGGGGAGATTGGGAAGGTTTAGGTTAGGGCCGGTTTTTCGTTGCCATTCATATGATTGTTATGCTGTATTTTGCATTGTCTAGAATTCTGTTTTTTATTGTTGAATGGTGAATAAACGCATTCATATATTCGAGCTAAAGGAAGACTTGATGCAAAACGGAGTGCAATGGCGTTATAGGATTCATACAGCCGACCCTACTAAGTGGGATAAGGCTTGGTTGTTGTTGGTGAAAAAGCACATTGGCATGTCATTTCATTTTGTTGAATGGATGAATTATGTTTCACGACACTATTCTCTATGCTTGTTTGAGAGATATAATGAATTGGGATTACCGGAAGATTTTCCGTTTTGTATGATTTGTTTTGTTTTGTTTTGTTTTTGAGCAACATTTTACTGCTTTGTGATTAATGCAGAGAATACAATATGCCAAGACAAAATCGGATGTTATAGCAAAGGCTGATGGTACTTTTGTTCCACGCGAGAGACGGAAGAGGCATGAGGAAAAAGGTAAAGTCTCTCTCATTTATATAAACCGTATGACAGTGAGATATATTGTTTGGGAACAAAAATGCTGTATTGATGTATGATTGATACATTTGTTTTTAATGATTGTTTTCTGTTCATTCTGTGGCAGGGAAAAAACGAAAAGAGCAACATGATGCAAGCCAAGCCGGAATGTCCATTTCGGCTTATGCTGGTACCTATGGTTCAGCACCTCCGGTAAGCAAGTTTTCTGTATCATTGAGGGATAACTTACTCCCAATTTCAGCTTTGTTTATACCTTCTCTATTTATGTTTTTATTTGGATATCTTTGATCATATTTATTATTTGCCGTGATTGGTCGTACTTGAACTGAAACAACTCTTAACCGATTCGGAAGTCTATTTAGTGGAAAAACTGCACGTGGTTTATAAAAGTTGGGAAATTGAAAAATTTCTTGGAACATAAATTGGATAGGTGTATAACAGTATTAAGGTCTGGAAACTGTTATGCAAACACGTGGATAAAGTAATTTTGGTTTATTACAGTGATTGGAAATTTTATCATTCATGTAGTACCCTTCATGGTTTATCTATACCAAGTTTGTATTGGTTCATTGAAACTCTCTTCTCTCTCCCAACCTCGTGCAGCTTTCTCAAATACCGTATCCCGGTGGTGTGAAGTTACCCGAGGCTCCTGCTCCACCAAACAACATACTTTTTGTCCAGAATCTTCCGCAGGAGACAACTCCCATGATGCTGCAAATGCTCTTCTGCCAGTATGCCGGTTTCAAGGAGGTTAGAATGGTGGAAGCGAAACCAGGTATTGCTTTTGTGGAGTTTGGAGATGAGATGCAATCAACGGTAGCAATGCAGGAACTCCAATCTTTTAAGTTGACACCGCAGAGTTCGATGTTGATTACGTATGCCAAAAAGTAGACAACAAGATTTAGGTCTTTGCTATTCCTGTAAGCTGCAGCCACGGATCCTTAACTAGAATGTTGTTAATCTGTTGAGATACGATGCTTCAATGTATTATTGCTGTCGGGATATATTAGAAGAGGTAAAAATTGCGGAGTCAATGTTTCATTTTCGTGTGGCCCTGTGAACAATTGAAGATTCATCGTGGATTATGTTGTTTTTTTTCTTTTGGTTTGGTTTTGCAATCAGAACCTATCTTGATTTTCGTGGTTGGCCGTCGCTGTGGTTTTACGTGTACACTTTCTCATTCCAGGAGTAATTTTCAACCTACTATATACATAACTTGTCGATCTAGTATGCTCTGGTGTATATTTTTGATACAACGGCTAAAAATTCTCGATATCCTACTGCAAGAAACAAGTATTCTGTACAGCTCTGCTATACTTCTAATTTCATGCCAGACGAAGCTAAAACATCCCTACAGCATACACGCACTCATGGAATTTGCAAAGAAATGCTCACGAACCACGTCTTTTGGCAGGGCGGAGCTGCTTCCGATGAGGGTCCTTAGAATTGGCGGGGGACCGCTGTAAACAGTTTGATGCAACTTCCGCACATGAAGATGCTTGTCCAGAACCATCAACTCCAACAATTTTCGACAACTCTGTAAGAAATTTGAAAGTTTAACATTAGCATTGGTGAACCGAAAGGAAGAGCGGGCATAATATATCGGTAGATAAACTTGTCATGCAAGGGACTGTGGGTTGGCATACCTGCGGATTCAGTACATCCATCTTCCGGATAATTTCATCCTACAACGTAAGAAACAACGAGAAATAAGCGAGAATCAGAGGCAACAGGGACATGAAGTAGGGAAACATTGTTTTTCTAGCTATAAACAGGATTTTATGGTTCCAGGTAGTGAAAGTACCTCTAACATCCCTGGATTTTGCATCACAATCCCAAGAAGGCGCCGTCTGAGTCCCTTGTCGAAAATCTTGTTAATTTTCTGTTCACCATTCATCCACGGCAGTGTTGGCACACATATTTTGTCTTCCATAAAACTTTCAGGCAAACTATCAGTTTGTTCTACCTGCTTATTTCCACCGATGTGTTTTTTGCCACTAGAAGCACCGTCATCTTTCAACAGATTTACAGACTTCGATGTAGCAGATGTCCGATATACAGACACCATGATTCCTGGGAAACCTTTTTCTCGGCGGGAAAGATTGTCGCTCGAGTATTTTAGTCTTTTAGCGTTCAAAGATTCATCGCTTCTAGTTTTGATTTTTGAGCTTCTCAAATCTTCAGCCTCTCCCACTCCATCTGGAATGTGTGGTGAAATCGACAGTTGGCCTGAAGAAACTAGAGCAAACAAATGAAAAAAGTCCCCACATTTTAAATCTGTAGACAGATGAATCCCCCCTTCTGTAAGATCTTTCTCTCTTTCGTGGAGCCAACGAGCAAATTTGGCAGCTCTCTTTCCAGAATCAGTAGGAAACGGAGACCTAAAAATGTTAGAGAAAAACCGAGGAGAGAGGGATAGAGGTTGACTGTCAGTACCCCCAACCTGCCAAATAAAAGTTCATCAGGAAGGAAATATATATAAAACTTACGAATTATATGCACAGCAGAATGCAATTAAATGTTCAATCCAAAAATCAACAGAAACTAAGACATACCACAATTTTGTTATCTCTTAGGTAGTCAAGAGCTGCTAAAAGATCACGCTCTGAGTAATGCTGTTGGATTTCTGCAGGCAGATTTTTCTCTCCTTGTGCTGTTATGGTAGTCAAGAAGACATGTTTAAATAGCTCTACAGCCAAAGATTTGTAGACCGGTGCACTAACAACTCCTTCATGCAAAAGTTTAAAGAAATTCTGATGAAGGTGTTGAACGCATCGTTGTGCAGAAATTCCTCTACTATCATTCTGAATATCATCGCACGGAAGTGATGATGCAATCAATTCAGATCCCTGCAGGTCCTGCAGGTGAAAGGGTATTTCAGCAGAAAGCTATATTAGCCAAATACTGGCATAAACTAGGAGAAGAAAAGGAAGAAAGCATACAAATACGTAACAACACACATTTGACAAGATGTTAATGTATGTAAAAATTCGAGGTGTAGGGGTTCGGTAATTACATGTTCTTCAGAATTTGTAATATGCTCTGACCCTGCCTCACACGTAGATCCATCTCTTTTGGTGGTATCCAATTTAGTCATCCTGTGGTGAAGTATCTCATCAAGTGTTTTTCTAATATTTTTATCATCAAAATCATCCCATGGTTTTTCCCGAAAACCTGTCCTTTGATTACGGTCGCTGATGTTGGAACAATTCTTGTTATAACCTTCCTCTACTGAACCTTGGGAAAGTTGTCTGTAACCAGATATGTTAAATGACCTGTTCTGGGTTTTTAGCAAGAGCTTTGCATATCTTTCACTGAACATGTTACAGAGCTTCATCAGAGATTTTCTAAATTTTCCATTACTGTTCTTCAGATATGTCATTCTTCTTTTGCAGGTACTAGGAGGTGCTGGAAGGTCAGGAAGTGAAGCCCAACTTATCTGATGATGATATTTCGCCCCAAGCGTTGCGCAACATCTTGCATATTGAATAACCAATTGCCTAAAGGAACGATACCAATATCAGTGAAATGCAAATAGGGGAAATCTAATTCTTACATGGAAAGAACAAAAAGGATCCTATCTCTAATGGATTGTTCTTATGGTTATGATATTTACATATTTTCTTTTCTTACCTATCAGCCTCTTCAGTCCATGAAAACCTGAATTGACGTGATGGCTTCAACTTTGAAAAATCATGCGTGCTCAAGATCGAATGACACCCCTCAGTATCTTTCGTTCCAGATTCCTGGTCAGTTTCTTGATGACCATCCCTCTGGAACTCACGCAAACGTGCGCCATGCTTGCCTGGAAAAGTGAACAAGAGATTTCTTCCTTCCGTGAATGTTTTGACAGTAACAGGTAATTTGGCAAGCTTCTGCTCTTCCAGCCTTCCAGTTACCCCCTCAACTTCTGTGAATTCTACAGAGCTTGCTTTAGAAGATCTCTCCCTCTTCCGGGAAGCATGTTTACATTTTTGAAATTGAAGTCCATCCCCTTTATCCTGGATCCATTAAGATGTTAGCAATTATCGTAAACATGCATTAATTGGACGACTGTGTACATATATTGAATGAGTAACAAACATAAAGATAACGAATATTATTAAGATGACCAGAAAATTCTTCAAGGCAAGGATGAGGACAAGAACCTGTACCTGTTCTAGCATGCTTTCTTCCTTTCTGGCACTGTCCACTGTCAAAGTCAGACGTGGCTTCAAGACTGAAAGTGGTGTATCTGATGCGGCATCATGTGTTTCCGTTTCTGTAATCCAGGACAGAGATGCATATGGTTAGATTCTTTACACCAAGGAGATCCACTAATCTCTATTTTTCGTATTTACAGGTTAGCATTATCACCTGTCAAAGTTGAATGATTTTGAATTTGATCTGTCCTATCAAGAGTATCTACACCGCTAACATAAGGCGTTGTTGTTGTTGTTGTTGTGTTGTCATTTTCTGATTGATTAAAGAATGCCTTGGCTGATTTGAAATTGCATTTCCCTCGTGCCCAAACTCGATATTCATTGACTTTTTTGTTTCGTTGTTTCTTCTTAATCATCCCAAACCTAGAGCACATACTTTCAATCCACTTATCACTCTCTTTCCTGCCAATTCCAAGCCTCTTGGAAATCTGTTTATAGCAAAACCGAAAAACATTAAAGGAAAATTGATTTTATGTATTAGTAGTTGAAATGAAACTTACAATAAATGGCAGGAATTATACCACACAGAGCGGCTCTAACGAAGCACTCCTAATGCATTTACCCGAACAAAGAGTAACACACAATGCACTCACATTAGACATAATGATACCCTCTGATCCTGTAGCATTAATCAATTCTTGAATTTGATGCTCAATCGGAAGTTCCGCAAGCAGATGAGCAGTTTGATATTTCTTTACGATTTTCACCTGCCCAAGATTTTTTGGCTTGAGACTCTTTGGACAAAACTTTTTTAGCAAAACAAGGTATTGCTCAACCTGTTCAAATTGCAAAAGCGATATCAAGTCATTACCAACGAACACAAGCAGCTTCCAATCCAAGAGACTGTTCAAATAAAAGAATGAAGAACCACAATATAGAACATGTACACCAGAGAACCGATGTTTGGTTAAAAAGATTATTGGGAAACCTTCTCATTTACTTGAGCCTCAAACTTTTTCACAATATGAGCAGCTTCCAATCTGCAACAAATCTGGAAGAATAATATGCAGGGAACAATACAATTCAAAGAAAACATCAGTTTAACTTATAAAATTGCTAATATTAATAACAGTGTATATAGTTAATCCAATTTCACCTTCCTCCACGCTCTATTTCCTGAACGTGTTCCGCTGTAACCAAGTTCTTTCTTGAGATCCGAAACAAGAACCTTTGACAACAAAATAACATAAACAAATTCAACATAAACTGTAAAAAGAACTACTTTGACATATCTACCAAAACTTTTATGAAACCTGACCTTGCCATTGGATTCTTTGAGCTTATCGCAGACTGCCTTCGTTGCTGATAAATAGTCATTTACAAGCACATTATCTTTAACTCCATTTCCCGAAAATCCATCTCCACTTGCAGGGATTTCTTTTGCATTTCCAAAACTCTCTGTATTCTGTTCTACCTTTGTGATCTCAACTTCTTGTTGAGAGCCCAAATCATTTGCATAGCGATGTAAGTATATCAAATTGGTAGTCACGCTCAAATTATTGCTCGAGTGGCCTTCGTCATCAGGATTTTTTTTCCTCACCAATGCAGGTCGCTTCGCAATTAACCCTTGACATTCAAGCTTTCTCACTTTGTAGAAATAGTTTTCGCCTAGAATGCCCAATTCCTTGGAAAGTTGACTTTGTGTAATTCCATCCGTTCTACAAGTACCCAAATTCACAATAAAGTAAACCATAAGACAACCTAATTAACCTACAAAATCGTTATCTCACAGCCACACCAAAAAATGGCAATCTCTCGACACTTTTCACACAGAGAGAGAGAGAGAGAGAGAGGGAAACTATATGCACCAACAAAAACATCTCTTGCTTGAGTACCAAGTTTTCTCGGCTCACATTGCAATTCATTAACATCTTATGCTAAGCAATGTAAAATCGGATAAGTACACATTTATTAGGAAAAACCAAACTTCTAACTTTATAATGGTCGCCACTTGCTTGCCTGAAATTTCCGATGATGGACTAGAAATCCGTTCAAACAAAGCACGTTACATTCAACTCAAAACTTCACCAATGACGATGAATTATATACTTTTCGATGTTAATTACTCAATGTTTTAACTTAATTACTTAGCTAGCTTGCCTCACATTGTACTTAGGCGATATTCAAATCAATCGAAACCGTGAAATCACACATATATACACACAACCGCATCACCAATTTCACACATACAAAACACAAACAATTAAAAATAAACTGGAAAGTTAGATTCTGGATTTTGAAAGGAGAGGTTGATACCTAGCGGTGGAAACTCTTTCGAGGGTTCGGCGCTGATACGAACAGAGGTTTTCAACGGCGGGTTGGGCAATGTAGAGGCCCAGGAAGCTGTTCCTTGGAGGCTGATCGGCGACGAGCTTCAGGTCGAGTTTCTCGGCGTCTTGGAAGGACTGGATTGAAGAATCCGTTGGGCTGCAGTACCGGGGATTTTGCATCTGGTTCAGGAATTTGAGGGTCGGGACTGACCGGAGCTCCGCCCATAAGGCTTGTTTGAATCCGTGATCAGAAAAATTGGAGGAGGAAAGAGAGGACTCGAGTCTGGACCAGAGGGCTGATATGGCGAGACCGTTTCGGCCCTCCAAGCAGATTTCTTCTAACGACGCGTTTAAAATCGAGTCCACGGCGGCGGTGGCGACGGCGGAGTGTTCGACTGGGATGGAAGAGGAAGCGGGAAGAGCGCGTAATTTACTGTGTTGATCAACTTTTATTCTTTATAGTTTGTAGTTTTAATCTAACACGTGCGCATAATTTATTTATTTATTTTTCCAAACCGCACAATTAATTGGGCCCAAAACAGGTGGGCCTGCCCATAACATTGGGCATTTTCCCAGAAATCAAAGAGCCCGCCAAAAACTCTTGCCGCGGACACTGCGGAGAAAGAGGACGACTCCGACGGACCAACTCCAGCCACCACCGGAACGAAGCTCAGTTGCTAGATGATGGCGTCGTGGTTCCTCTAGGAAAGCCGTAAGAGAATACAAGCCGTCCGAAGGTAGAAATACATCGTTTTCCAGAACTTGTTTGGATGTGAATTTGATTTGAAACTGTTAAACGAGGCAGGCAGCTTCGTTGTAAATTGATTTTGTTTATGTGCTTCATGCAGGGTTCATTACAGTACAATGAGTACATAGTTTACAATGTGAAACGGATTAGGATGCACTACGTTGTTCAAGTGAATTTCAATTTCAATATACGATTAGTGTTGTAGTCATGTACATTTTACCTTCATTTATTTATCTTTGGTGAGAATGTTGTTAACTTATATGATTTGGTGATGGACTCGTCTTGTCTTCTCCATTTTTCTCTAGTAAATTACAGTTTGTGCGTGCATATCTTACTCTTGAAAAATACAAAAAAATGAAGAAAACAAAATTATGTGTATGTTTTGTACTATGATTGGCGGAAAAGTAGGAACGCTTTATTTCAATGGAAGGAAACAATTATTTTCCTAATATTTTTACTTTTCTAAATGTTTTTTTGCTGGCCCTATCAACCTAAGTAGCATAATTTCTTCTATGCAATTTTAACAAAGTTGAACGACGTATTAGTACACCAATAGCTAATCGGTGATTGATATTGATGTTAAAGCAAATAAATAGATAAAGAAATAAGGAAATCCCAATAAAGATGCACCTACCCACCATCACAAGTACTTTTCTTTTTTTTTTTGAGTAAACTCCAAGGTAAAGATGGCGGAACGTACAAAAAAAAGCCTACAACGAGACAAGCACATTAGCTAAGCAAGCAAAAAACTGAGCAGTGCAGTAGGGTTCAACAGTGAAGACGTACATACCCACCACCACAAGTACTTTCTGTATCGTCATTGGTACCTTTAGCTTCAAATAAATTTGGAATTCCAATTTTTTATGGGCATCCTCTTGCAGAGAGTTCTACACTGTCATTCCTCATGACTTTGGATTTAAAAAAATGCGTGGGTTATCTCTCTCTCTCTCTCTCTCTCTCTCTCTCTCTCTTGTAAATGAAGGCATACAATTGGTATGGAAATATGAGTAATGCAGGTAATTTTGTGATTGGTACTCCTCAGAAGTTGAAACACAATTTAGAAATGGTAATTCTTTTTGTAAATTGTTTCTTGTATTTGTGGGTATAGTTTGGCTAAAAACTTCCAAAACTTAAATCAAATGTTATATTCCTTTATTCCTTCAAATAAGTACCGTGCCACCTATCAGTGCTATTTTTGTGTGACGATTATTATTAACTCTTCTCTACGTGAAGGTTGAAGCACTGGATGAAATTGAGGTTGCAACGAAATTGTTGAAGGATGACACAGGAACGCAGGTAAATCTCTTTTCATCTTATGCTTCATAGTTCACTTGCGGACTTGCCCTTATGTTTTAGTATCTATCCTTCCTACTAATGTATGTTTCTGCCATTATTATAGGGAGATCCCTTGTATTCCAGTTACCAACGCCTCCATTGTGAGTTGACACCGATTGGTGTTGATTCTCATGAATTTGATATGGTATCTATGAGTAATAAGCAATGGAAATTTGAATATAAACAAAATTAAGCTAATAATTTATCTGCTTAGTTTTGATCTTTTTTCCTTATTTTTCTGTTGTCAGATTGCAAAATATTTGCATAATACTCATGCAAAAACACATTCAAGTTACACTGTTGATATCGTTCAAATATTCCGCACATCAAAAGAGGGTGAAGTTGAACGCTTCAGAAGGTTAGGTTGATCTACGAGAGGCTTTTCATAAAATGTTTCATCCATCTCCGATAATATTACAAATACTTGAAGTTTCCTTGTTGGTTTTGAATATCCTATATTTTTTATTTTAAGCAATTTCTAATTGTGTTTCTCTTGTGAGCAGTTTTCAAGTACGAAAAATAGAATGCTTTTATGGCATGGTTCTTGTCTCACAAATAGGGCTGGCATATTATCTCAAGGTGATCCTTTATGGTGTAGCTTCGTAGTATACATGACAATGGGCGTGTGTTTGTGTATGTGTGTCACCGTGTGCACACTCGTGCAGACACGGTATATGAATGTATTTAGTGCTTAATAATTTAGTTAAACATGTGCCATGACAACCCAGGTTTGCGCATAGCTCCACCTGAAGCACCAGTGACTGGTTAGTTGTTCGGGAAAGGAGTTTACTTCGCAGACATGTCCTCCAAAAGTGCAAATTATTGCTATGCATCTAGTGGTTGTACATCTGCTGCTTCCATGCGAGGTAGCCTTTCAAGTTTCAGCAAGTAAAACACATAAATTCTACACCAAAAACGATGAAGATATGGTGCTAAGAGTGGTTTGGCATCAGATTATCAATATATCCTTCAGCGCATTGCGTACCATTAAGATCAAGATTTATACGAGAGACTGGAAAAATATTTGTGGATTAAAATTTGAATTTCCCCAACCATTAAGATCTGCTACACTCGAAGGGCGCCCAACGGGATACTTTTGAGGGACTGCACTTCACATGTATGTGCTTCACTTTTTCTTTACTGGACCCTCCCATCTATTGCTGATAAGTAATAACTAAACTGTTTAAGTGATAAAACATCTTCTATTCACTTACGCTTTTGATATTTTGCATTGAAAGTTTATCTTCCTTTCCTTATAAACTTTGTATATTTCTTGATCGAGAAGTTTGTCTGCATTATGTGTGAGAGAATTGACCTTCGACGAAAGCTTGTTACATTATTCGATTTTTCGAAACTAAAACGCGCATTGCATTACTTGATTTGGTATGTAACATAATACTGCAGCACTGAAGGAGTTGGGGGAACTGAACCAGATTTTTCAGAAGCTCAGCTACTAGATGATGGCGTCGTGGTTCCTCTAGGAAAGCCGAAAGAGAATACAAGCCGCCCGAAGGTAGAAATACATCGTTTTCCAGAACTTGTTTGGATGTGAATTTGATTTGGAACTGTTAAACGAGGCAGGCAGCTTCATTGTAAATTGATTTTGTTTATGTGCTCCATGCAGGGTTCATTATTGTACAATGAGTACATAGTTTACAATGTGGATCAGATTAGGATGCGCTACGTTGTTCAAGTGAATTTCAATTTCAAGATACGATTAGCATCTGGATGTATAGAGCAAGATGAGATTAGTGTTTTAGTCATGTACATTTTACCTTCATTTATTTATCTCTGGCTTTGGTGAGAATGTTGTTAACTTTTATGATTTGGTGATGGACTCGAGTTGTCTTCTCCATTTTTCTCTTGCAAATTACAGTTCGATGTGTGCATATATTACTCTTGACAAACACAAAAAGAAAAAGAAAAAATTATAATAATTTATGTGTATGTATCTGTTGACCCTAAAAATTACAAAGCCTACGTGGCGCGCAGATCGAGTAACTAATAAGCTAACTACATCATTTGGTTGAATGTGGGGCGTGCCAACTCGTCGGCCGAGCTCGGCCAAGGAGTAAAATTTGTTGATGTTGCGTTGAGCGCGTTGCTGACTTCTTTATCTTGCGACTGCGACTAAGGAAGGAACACGTCTCGGTCTTTGGGTTCTCGAGCTTGAAGACAAGGCTGCTAGTTCTGCGAAGTTCACAAATTGTCGGCGCCGGATTTGGTCACAATGATTATATTTGTGAGAGTATAAGCACGTCGAATCGACACCAGACTATATGGACACAAGTACTCAAAGGTGATGTGTGTCTTGATGGTAAATGTGGTTTGGCCATCAGAATGCCGAACTCTGAAACTCACTTGCGAATATCCAATCATAAAATCACTCGGCGTTCAATGTGCCAAATGTCGTAACTCGTAACACCTTACTTCGTCGAAAAGGTTAATAAGATGACCTCTGCCAATAAGGATTCGGAAACCCTTCTCGGCCGAGACTTGGATAGGTAACCAGTCAGCCTCAACGCAGTGTTGTTTATTCAAATTGAAGATGCTCCTCGGTCGGCTGATTCTACGGTAACAGTGCTGTTTATCCAAACTGAAGATGTTCGCCGGTTGCCTTCACAGTGCTGTTTATCCAAACTGAAGATGTGTTGGCGGGAAAAAGAAAATAAAAAAAATCTCAAGATGTTTGAGAGGTTTTGCACAGGGCAATTGTGTGTTGAATTGGAGAGAGATAAAACAATGCACAACCTCCTCTATTTATAGTGGCAACTATGAATTAAGACCATACTCAGATTAGGATTCCTCATCCCGATCCAACCTTATCTCGACCAATCCTACTCCTATCAGGACTTTGAATTCCTCCTCTTATTAGGCCATATTCATTTCCAGGCTGTTAACATCCTTCTCCTGCCGAGATTCCTTATTGCATCAGGATTCCACTACCCGTCCATCCACCTTGCGATAGAGCTTAGTTGACCTCGACTAAGCGGCCCACGAACTAGACGATCCACAATACTTTTTGTTTTAAAAATAAAATCCTTCGGGCCAAGAATGATTCTGAACTCGGCCCAAACTAACATTTTGGGCCCAAACAGTATCGTAGTGTGATTGGCTGAAAAGTAGGAACGCTTAATTTCAGTGGAAGGAAACAATTATTTTCCTAATATTTTTACTTTTCTAAATGTTTGTTTGCTACCCTCCCATGGTGGGATGCCCTATTAACCTTAGTAGCTTAGGACATACTTCTTCACAGATGTAGTGAATAGATTTCAAACATCATGAAAAAAGTTAGGGTTCCACCATAAAACAAATTGGTAATATGGGGCTCTCATTAATGTGGGATTTATTTTCAACACACCCCCATTACATGATGAATTTTCAAGTCTAACATGCGGACAACACAAATCGAGATAATGTGGAATACGTGTGACTATTAGGCTTCGTATGAGGGACAACCTGCTCTGGTACCATGAAGAAAATTGGGATTCCATCATAATAACCAATTTGCAATATGAAGAGTAGCCAAATCTCTTATAAGCTCATGCAAATGCCCTCCTCTCATCAATATGAGATTCA